CGGCAGCCCAGCTCCAGGTCAAACTGTTGTTCAGCATCTTAGCTGTAGAGGGCAGTGTCACTGGCCCTCATATGTAGGATCCGAACCGGGGCCCTCTGGTGTCCCAAGCCAGCTCTTAACCAATGCGCCACTTGACTGGCCCAAGTAACAGTTTTTTTAAAATAGAAATCTTGCAGTGATTGAAAACAAATTTATAGATTTGCTGGAACATAAGGAAAACAGATTTTCTCAACTTTTGAGCTCTTTATAGCCATTAATCAGGCATTCAGTGGAACCATGTGCATGGAAGGGTGAGGAAGACTCACAGGTGTAGAAAGCAGTGTCAGGCATATTCTGTTGGGACTGGTTCATTCTGATTCACTGAATTTTTATTAACACTGTATCATTATAATGTTACATGATCTTACCTGGGTTATAAAATGAGATTATTAACTTTTCAAAGCATTTTCCATCAGACAGAAGGAGAATCAGCATTTAATTTCTGCGTTATTGTGTGACTATAACAAAAAACATTACTAAGGAGAACTTAAAAAAAGATATTGAAGTTAGTTTATGTCATATTGAACTCAGCCTAGGCCTCATTCCTTAAAATACATTTAAACTATTTCATATTAACTTAAGAAAGAAAAAAGGTCTTTGCGTAGTTCAAAATGTTTTTGTTTTGTTACAGGCAGCTGTTAAATCTAAGAAAGCTACAGATACCTATAAACTCTATGTGGAAAAATATGCAATAGCAAAAGCTGATTTTGAACAGAAAATGACAGAAACAGCTCAGGTTGGTATTTTTAAAGATTTAAATAAAAAACAGGATATTTGGGTTTTTTTGTTGTTGTTTGTTTTTTAAGATTTTACTGGGGAATTGGGGAAGGGGAACAGCCAAGTTGTTGTCCTTCAATCTTAGTTGTGGAGGGCACAGCTAGCTCAGCTCCAAGCCCAGTCACCATCCGGCCGCCTGTCGGCAGCTCGCAGCCACTCAGCTCAAGGTGCCGTGTTTAATATTAGTTGGTGGTGGGCATAGACCACCATCCCATGTGGGAATCGAACTGGAAACCTTGTTGTTAAGAGCACGTGCTCTCACCAGCTGAGCCATCTTGCCACCTGTTGGTAGCTCAGGGGCAGCTCAGTTTGGGCGCAGCTCACTGGCCCATGTGGGAATTGAACTGGCGACCCTGTTGCTCAAAGCTCGCGCTCTTAACCAACTGAGCCACTCAGCCAGCCCCAGGATATTTGTATTTACTGGTTAAATGTCATTTTTCTGTCCTATAATTTTTTAGTATTAGAAATGTTAAAATACACAATCTTAATGTTTCAATAATGCTGTTTTAAAAATACACATCTTGTTTTGGAGATTGAGTTATCAAGATGCAATAATGACAGTATCATAAGGGATTATTCAGATAGACCAGAAGAGGCTGTTTAAAGAAAGTTGGGGGAAATGAGGACATAGGTAGACGATGAAGACAGTGCTGTTAACCTTATGTGTGGATTTTAAAATTGACTTTTGCTTAAGAAGAAAACTAGAAATGACTAAGTGCTGAGATGTAGAAGTTAACAAAACAAACAGAACTCCCTGCCCTCATAGACCTTCCATTTTGGTGAGGGAAGACACAATAAAAAAGTCTCGCATCAGCATGTAATAATTATATCCAATTTGATGTTCTTAGAGCTTAATTACAGGCCTGGGTTTAAGTGCCTTTTATGAATCATTCCTAAAACTTCCACCCCTACCCTTTTGTTCTTTGTTTGTTTGTTTTTCTGTAGCACCCTTTCTTTCATCATCTAACGTACCATGAATTTTATTTATTGTATCAGTCAGGATAGGCGGGGGATGCTGAAGTGACAAAGAAAACCCCCAAATCTCAGTGGCTTACAATAGCAAGGGTTTATTTGTTGTGCTACTTGTTCATCATGGGTTAGTTGCAGATGATGCTGTTCTGCATCATCGTTCACTCTGGTACTGAGGCTGGTGAGGAACCTCTTCTTAGAACATTATTCAGAGTCTTCATATCTGAGGGGCTAGAACCATGGTGAAGCACACTGGCTCTTTTACCTATTTTTTTTTTTTTTTTGAGCCATCCTGCCACCTGTTGGCAACTCAGGGGCAGCTCAGCTCAGGCCAGGCATCGAACTGCTGTTGCTCAAACCTCGCACTCTTTTACCCATATTTTTTTGTTGTCTGTCTTCCCCCACAAAAATATAAGTTCTGTGAGAGCAAGGATTAATTTGTTTACTTTCCGCAGCACTTAAAACAGTTCTCAGATCATAGTAGGCACTCAGTAACTGTGAAAGAAGGACCTATTAATCTGACTTTTTGGACTCACAGGGAGCCTTCTCAGTTGGAGTGGTGAAGGATTCACATCTTAGAAACCAGGCATACGTGCATCCATCTTAACTTACCATGTTGTGGGCACTGTGCTAGATGCTGGGTGTATACAAGTATCTATGTAAATAAATATCCCCCTGCTCTAGGTGGAGTGTACAGTATAGAGGAGGGAGGCAGACATTAAATACATGACTAAATATAGAGTTATAAGTTATTACAGTGTTACAAGGGAAAAGAACAGGCTTCCATGAGATTGAGTAATAGGTAGGTAGGGTTGACCTAATTTGGATTAGGGAGTTGGGAAACCCCTTTTTGGAGAAGTGACATTTAAAACAGACTTGAAAAAAGAGTAAGAGATTCATTCTGCAGCTAGGGTGTCCTAGGCATTGGAGACCATGGGTGTGAAGATCCAGATGTGTAAAAGAGCTGTCCCATTAAAGAAGGAAAAACATGATTACTAAAACTGAGTAAGAAGAGATGGTGGTGAGACAGGAGGTTGAGATAGGCAAGGACCAGGCTTTGTAAAGGTTTGAGTTTTCTCCTAAGAGTGGTTGGAAGACACTGGAGGGTTGTATGCAGGGATATGACATAATTTGGTCTGCATTTTAAAAGATAGTTCTGACAGTTTTGTGAAGAATGGATTATAGTGAGGCCAAAGGAGAACCAAGAGTCCAATTTGGAAGGCAATATAGTAGTCAAGTGAGAAGGTTGAGGACCAATGTGGTGTCCTTGGAGAAGGAGAGAAGTAAATGCATTTGGAGATGACGGGTGGGGTGGATGGGAGAGTTCTAAGGGAGATCAAGATCTCTTCCTGGTTTGGGCTTGTAAGTCTATATGGATAGAGATGAATGGGAAAGACTAGATGAAGCTCTGTTGGTTTGAGGGGTGGGTTAGAAGGGAATCAGATGTTCAGTTTTGAACAACCTGTACCTAAGTGGAATCATCAAATGGTCAGTTTTGGAGGATCTAGTAACCTGGGCTGAACATAATGTTCACAGTCCCTTATCCACAATTCTGAATTCCAAAAGCTCAAAGTTTTTTTCTAAAACTCATTTCACAGCAAAACTTGACTTACCGTATTTGCCGGCGTATAAGACGACTGGGTGTATAAGACGACCCCCTAACATTTCCACTCAAAATACAGAGTTTGTTATATACTCGCCGTATAAGACTACCCCCTCTTCCGCAC